TAGTTGTAAAAAGATTGGCGTATGAATATCCGAATATAAATTGCTAAATTGCATAATTTCAAAATCAACAATTTTGTGAAACATATTTGCAGAGCCCAATACGTAGTCAACTACGCTTGAGTTACGACTTGTTGGCTTACCAACTTTGTCAGATAAAAATCGACCGTTCAATATAAATATGTTATTATTTTTACAAAAACTAATAAGTTTTCTGCCATATGTATTTACTGTTTGATCTTCAGAGTTTCTTTTCCTCGGTATACCAAGGTCGTCTAAAATGCCTATTTCAGAGAACTCATTAAAATCAATCAATTCATTCACAAATGTATCATCAAAATCATCCTTATCATAATAATCAGCTAAGGTACCAGTTCGGCTATTAAAATCGCCAAATAAGCAGACATATTGTGAATCTTTATACATATTTTGCAATTCTATCTCTATCTCAGATATAGTATCATCTGCTGTATATAATGTATTAATAGGTGGAATATAGATCACACCACATATTTGATCTTGTGGTAGCTGTACTAATTTCTTACAAATTTTAAACCAAAAGACAAAAGGACAATTTGTATCTATCGGAGTGATATAATTTTTAAGAACACTTTTATGGCCAAAAGCTAAACCACCTGATCTATAATTTGAGATTTTTTTTCTATTTTTACAATAAAAAGTGAAGTTTTCCAAAGATATATCATCTAATTATAAGTCATCTAATTTGGTCTCTGAGAAACAAACAATATCATGGTCTTGTAATAAATTTCTAAATTCTGGATATACAAGTTTGGATTTTAAACCACATACATTTAGTATCAATAATTGTAATTTATTGTTTTCTTTATAAGTAAAGTCAGTGTGAATAGTATTAACACTTTTACTACGGTGAAAATCTGTTCCACTCGAGTACTTCGGTTGACAATAGCTGTCCTTTAATCCTCCTTGACCTCTTTAACTTTGGGTTTGCAATTTACGGGGGTCTCGACCAGTGTTTCTGTAATAGTTATACACCGAGGGATAGGTGTGTCTGGATAAGAAACCCCGTCGGCCGGAGGCCGGAGGGGTTTCTTATCCAGACACGCCGTATCCCGAGGTGTATAACTAACTTACACCCCATTCTAAACCCTATATTTGTTAACATTGATTATTAAATGAAAAAAAAATTGATATCATATTTATTGACAATACCAAACCCTGATTTTAAGATTATTTTTTTTATTACATGAAACCCCACTAGTAACCTTTCTTTGGTTATCTTCGTTCAAACTTTGACAAGTGAGTATATTTTACAAATGTCAAAGTTGTTTTGCATATTCCCGTTAAATCCATGTAGTAATATGGATCAACAGGTCAAGGTTGACTGTCTTATTACAAACAAAAAATACATCATGCTCCTGGTATACAGTTGTCAATATGGACGGGTATAAGACGGACGACATTTTGTGGCAAGCGTTTGATTTGGTAGAAGAGACTAAAGATAAAGGCAATATTATAATCCAAAGTACTTACCTGTATCAGTTTAATAAAGGTAATCATAACTGTATTTTATATCTTACGATTTTATCAAAAACAAAAGCCCCCCCCCCCCTTCTCGAGAACAAACAAACATTCATATTCGAACATACTAAGGGATAGGTGTGTCTGCATTAAAAACCCGACTACCAGACACGCTCAACATACAATATTTAATATAGAGGAACTCCCTTTTTGGGGGCAATCGGGGGCTGATCCCGGGGGTTCTCAACTTGACTCTAAGAGAAAAAGGGAAGTCCAACCATTCAAATGCATTGATCATTTAAATAAAAGTCGGGTCCAACCCGCGGAACCCCCAACCCCGGATCAGCCACTGGCTTAACCCGGGGGGGGGGGGGGGGGGGGGGGGGGGGGGGGGGGCTGTGGGTCCGGGAGTTAGAATCCCCGTTGTTTTAAAAGATCAATACTTTAGAATAGAGACATATGACTGGGATAAAAAAAAATACCTTCAAGCAAAAGAGTATTTAAAGTATTATTTTTGTATTCCATATAGATGCTTATTGGAATTTCCTAAAATGTGTTTTTTTAATATCATGAAACAATTTGTAGTGAACACTATTAGTAATTTCTTATGTTCATGCTATTTAAAGAATAATCAATTTCTATTGTTACGAATAACAATGGACTTTGTTTGCGGGATGTAGAAGCAGGGGTTTCCAGAAACCCCGCTCGTCACACCCTGTGGTCAAAATCCATTGTTATTCGTAACAATAGATCTATTCAATTTACACTTGTTTCAGAAATAGAAACTATGAAGTATAACAATAGAACTGGGGTGTAATGTTTGGTTATTTGGACCATAGGTGGTAGTTTTCGGGCGTGCCCCTCGTCCAATATATTATTGTCTTTCATTTGTCTCCATTTTTGCCTCGTCGTTTCTGTCGGGTGGGATGAATTCAGCCCCGTCAATAAATAACCGATCTTTTTTTTAGGTGAACTTTCCGTTTTTGACTTTTGGCTTCTTTGAAGTAGGGCCACAGTAACTTTCTCCTGTCATTTATTTCTTTTGGATATTGTTCATTCACTCCGAAACGGGTCCCTTTCAACGCTGAAGCTGCGTATCGTACTAGCTCCTTGTCTTTGAAACTTTTGAAACGACAAACTATCGGTCTAGTAGTGTACAAATTTCGATTTTGACTGTCTTTTACAAAAGATTCCTTTCCAATTCTGTGTGCCCTATGAAACTCAACCACTGAATCCATTTTCATCTCATTTCTCATGAATTGTTTGATTATGTCCTCCGTATCCTCTGTATCATTGGTCAGGGGTAGTCCAGTAAACACCAAATTTTCCCTCATAGATCTTGTTTACGCCACTGCCAATTTCCCTTAGATTTTTTTTTCAAACATGGACCAATTTCAAAGTATTTCAATCTTTACTCAAATTTACAGTATCGTGATATCTAAAGGTGTGAACATTAAGGTTTTGACATAATCGTTGGTTATACCTAAACAATATCACCACATTGTAAACTACTGAGGATACTAAGTAGCTCAACACGGCAATTTTAAAGTTTTTGTCAACTTTTGAGTATTTATCCTAAATAATGATAAGAACATGCTTATCAAAACCAAAATTAAGTTTTAAATGCAATTATTTATTGTTTTTCCGATAAAAATTTATTCATTTTGGTCAGAGACGTCCTTCGATGCCATTGGACATTGTCAAAAAAACATAATTATATAATTTGCAAATTCATACCAAAATGCCTTCAATAACAAAAGTTCCCGCTAAAGAACATTTTCATTTTCAAATTCCGATGACCCTGTGAAAGAGACCAATACATAGGGAATTAACATTTAATTTACCTTTCTATAATTAATATTAACATTTACACCCCAGTTCTATTGTTATACTTCATAGTTTCTATTTCTGAAACAAGTGTAAATTGAATAGATCTATTGTTACGAATAACAATGGATTTTGACCACAGGGTGTGACGAGCGGGGTTTCTGGAAACTCCTGCTTCTACATCCCGCAAACAAAGTCCATTGTTATTCGTAACAATAGAAATTGATTATTTTTTTAAATAGCATGAACATAAGAAATTACTAATAGTGTTCACTACAAATTGTTTCAAGATATTAATAAAACACATTTTAGGAAATTCCAATAGCGAAAAAAAAATTAAGCATCTGTTTTGAATACTAAATTATCCTTTGAATACTCCTTTGCTTGAAGGTATTTTTTTTTTTATCCCAGTCATATGTCTCTATTCTAATTTCTAAAGCATTGAAAAACGGGGATTCTAACTCCCGGACCCCTCCCCCTCGGTTACCCAGTGGCCGATCAGGGGGTGGAAGTTCCGCAGGTTGGACCCGAATTTTTTTTAAAAGATCAATGCAATTTTTCTCTTGAGTTGGGAACCCCCGGCTGGATCAGCCCCTGATTGCCACCAAAAAGGGAGTTCCTAAATATTAAATCTGTATCTTTGTATGTTGAGCGTGTCTGGTAGTCGGGTTTCTAATGCAGACACACCTATCCCTTAGTATGTCCGAATATGAATGGGTTTTTTTCCGAGAAGAGGGGGGAGGGGCTTTTGTTCTATAAAACCGTATTAAAGATATAAAATAAAGTTATGATTACCTTTATTAAACTGATACAGGTAAGTACTTTGGGTTATAATATTGTCTTCATCTTTAGTCTCTTCTACCAAATCCAACGCTTGCCACAAAATGTCGTCCGTCTTATACCCGTCCATATTGACAACTGAATACAAGGAGCATGATGTATTTTTTGTTTGTAAGACGAATACACGAAACAGTCAACCTTGACCTGCTGATCCATATTAGCACATGGATTTAACGGGAATATGTTAAACAACTTTGACATTTGTAAAATATACTCACTTGTCAAAGTTTGAACGAAAATAATCAAAGAAAGGTTACTAGTGGGGTTTCATGTAATAAAAAAAATTCTTATAAATCATGGTTTGATATTATCAATAAATATGCTATCGCTTTTTTCATTTTTATTTTCATTTAATAATCAATGTTAACAAATATATATAGGGTTTAGAATGGGGTGTAAGTTAGTTATACACCTCGGGATACGGCGTGTCTGGATAAGAAACCCCTCCGGCCTCCGGCCGACGGGGTTTCTTATCCAGACACACCTATCCCTCGGTGTATAACTATTACAGAGATGGATAATGACACAAATGTTCTTCATAATTAACCGAAATCTTCAAACAAAGAGATCACTTTAATGAAGCACTAATCATCAAAAAAAATTTAACTCAAAATTCCATTTACTAGAAAATATTAGTTTATAGTAATACTGTTTTTGTTGATATAATCGCTCGTATTTCAGAATTTACACGTCAACATAAACATAAAGGTATTAGACATGATGGATTATATTTTCTATCACATGTTGTGTTGAATGAGATTTTTATACACCTTTTAATCTTCAGCATTTTCTTGTTTTCTACTTCATTTGTTAAACGCATCATTACTTAATGCACATTCTATATTGTGTTGATAATACTATATAATAAAAAGTCGTCACTAATCTGGATATTTCTCTGCAGAGACAGACTGGAGAATGGCGACTAAAACAGCGTCTGGACTGGTGCTTTTAATTGCTGTAACGATAGTCTGTCACGGTATGTATTGAACCACATAACAAACTCGACAAATTTAAAAGATAATTTTCGGTGATTGAATTTGTTAAAACAAAATTGTAAAATACCGAAATAAAATCGACGCTTAATTAACGAATTTTGAAATAAGGTAGAACTTTTCCCTTATTTGTTCACTCCTAGGATCACACTCAGAAAGTTGTTAAAACGTACTGGATTGTGAATATAGAAAATCTTATATTTTTTAACAACTTACACATTTCCCCTCAAATAAAAATGCTTTTCTCTGTTGAAGCATGTTTTGAATCAATTTAACGTTTATTACCCTCGAAACACTAAAGTAAGATGATTACAGCAATACGTATATTCCACAAAAATGCATTATGCTTCATAAGGGGACGACCATTTAATTTTCAGTTTGGTGGGAAGGGGGGGTGGGGGTGGGGTGGTGGTTGCAGAAAAAATATGAATCCGTACAAAAAAATAAGCATGCGTAGCAACAGATGAACAGATGAAAATAAATGAACAATCTGGAAAAATCCTCCTCTCTTTACGCAATTACATGGTCAATATCAAACGCATTCATCATCTACAACTCCAGGAACAGGTCGTGATAAATAGATCACACGTTAATCTATTGTTCTTACATGTTTTGTTCATGCTTTGTTGGTATTTGTATCAACAGTCGAAAATTGAACTCAGTAAGTAAGACCTATATTTTACAAATTCTAAAAACACATATTTCGAATACACCTCTGACAAACTATTTTCAAGTTATTGTAATGTGTCCTATATCTATATTGCAAATTTATTTCTCCTATAACATTTTATACAAAAAACTAGAGACATAATTGCCACTGGACGTTAAGCAAACATCAGTCAATCATCCAGTAGGATTTTTTTTTTAAATGCTCGTATCTCAAACTGAGAAGAACATTTTGTAGATCTATGATTTATGTTTCCCCTTCATTTTAACGTTTTATAATTATTAAGTGAAAAAGATCGTATCCATGTAAATATTGTTGGTTTGAAATTCAGCAAAATATTTCCTTCAGATACCTTCTTCAATTTACTAGAAATTGAATGGTATAATACATATGTTAGTAGATATTCCATCACTGATATCTCAGAATTTCTTCTTTTTTTCTTTTTTTTTTTTAAATATTTCGTCTTTTTTTAAATATATATTTTATATTTGACACAATTTCTAAAATTCATAAATCTCTTATTTTTTATACTTCATTGATAAAGTATTATATAGAATTGCTTCTTCGATACCAACATTATATAGTAGTTTAACAATAGCAAAAATAGCAAAATATCGCTCATACTGACGTTAAGGACACTAATCCAAGTTGAACTGTCAGCCTCTTGAACATAAAGAGAGATTTTTATAACAGCACCATCAGGGTGCAGATATGAAATTAAAGCACTGTATTCTCGTATATCTTTATCCTTGTATATTTTATTGAATATGAAATAAAGAGACGGGGTATGATTACCAATGGGACGACTATCCAGCAGGGCCGAAATTACGTGGCATAAGTAACTATAGATCACTGTACGGATCGTAAAATCAGCTAAAAAGGGCCGATATGACAAAATGTGACGCAATTCAAATGAAAAACACAAAGGCCTGATTGACGACAAAACAATAAACGAAAAACAAATATGACAGACAGCAATCGACAGGTGCATTTAAATGTGGCGGGGCGCTGAACATATCTGTGAGCGCTCAACCTTGGTGTAGCAGCACACCATCAAATTAAACTGTAAAAATCAGTTAGAAATGGTTTGAATCATCAAATTGACTTGAAATCTTTTTTGTAGAATTTATGTTTATTTTGTGTTTTCTCGAGTTGATTTAATGTAACATATTCTTTCCGTTAGGATGACATAACTTGATATGTTTTGTTTACGTCAAAATCCTATTTAGTAAATGCAAATGCTAATCTAGGTGCATATAATTTTATGCTTATATTATATATTTAACACCGTTTGATCGTTTCATGGCAAATGAGATCCTGTTATTTACTTGAATTAAAAAAAAATATAATCCTTAAAAAGGAATGTGACAAATTTTTCCTAACATCTTTTGTTATAGGAGCTTAAATTCAACCGGCAATAATAAAGTCAGTACCGGATGTTTCAGTTTTATTGAACGAGTAAATGTATATATTATTTTTTAACGAATATCAAATAAACACAACTCAAGTCTCACTTTTCTTAAATTAAATGTGACAATGTCCCATCATGGTAGCAAGGTATGTCGAAAAAGGAGAACGAAAAAGAATAATCGTTGTAATGGGACTGTTACACCACTATCCCAGGTAACTGGAGGGTTGAACGCTCAAAAACACGTTTAACCCCGCCACATTTTATATTTCCCTCTCCCAAGTCAGGATGAATTCTTTCATATTTTTCATGTTGGGCCTTAGATAGCCGTCTACACGGTATGGGTTTTTTCTCATTGTACGGTTGCCTATAATTGCTCATATAACTATATCCACTTCATTTGAACTTTGGTTGATAGTTGTCTCATTTACATACATACAACATCTCCTTATTTTTAAACAGTTAATCATCAATCTTATCAAAATAATGAAAGGGATTGACCATTACTAAGAATTGTTTTATAATCATGTTTTTCACCTGCCTGAAAAATGTGAAAAATGGAAGAAATTTGATGCAAATATCATGTATTGGATGGGTTCCTGCCAGGTCTTGCATTCTAGGTTATATTTTCAAAAATGTACACCAAAGCGTCGTGATTGGTTAAAAAGTCCTAAACAATTGAAATTCAACCAATGACGTGACGTATTTTTTGATACGAACAATAAAATTACCCATAGTCCTTTAGATTCGGAAACGGCCTATTTATGCCATGTACGACAAACTGTTAGCACAAAAATGAGAATTTCCTAATAATTACCCAAAAGAAGCCTGAAAAGGTTAGGTTTCGTTTATTTTCGATGAGAGAAAACATCATGATCGGTCTCCTTTTAGCTCACCTGACCCGAAGACCGGGTCAAGTGAGCTTTTATCATCACTTGGGATCTGTTGTCCATTGATTTTACAAAACTATTTTCTTCCGAGTCTACTGAGCCAATTGCAACTAAACTTGGTCGCAATTATCGTTTGGGTCTATAGTCTACAAATTGTGTTCGATGATCCCGCCCGCCAACCAACATGGCAAAACATAGAGCACAAATTGTAGAGGTAAAACGGAAGTATTGTCTATTATCTTGAAAACCCATATAGACAGAAAAAAATCTGATAGTAGCGGAAATGGTTAGAATGAAGAATCTTCCTTCGGTTCGTTTACATCAGAACTGTCAAACGACTTTTTAAAGGAGTCATTGCCTTAAATAACGAATTTTCTTTTATTTTTGCATATTATCTTGAAAATTTTTCAAAGAGAGAGAGAAACTTTAAATCGCAGAAATGATCATCAAGACAAGAGCAAGGATTTTTAAAGTAGGATCTTACTATATAAATCCTTGACAAAAGATATAAATATGTCAGCATGGCCGAAATCGACGGTAGATTTCTTATTGGATTTTTGCCCTTTAATGAAGATTTTAATAGGGTTTTTTTTTTGCGTTTTTGCCTTTTATCTTGGTAACTTTAATAGATAGATATAAACTTTATCTAGCAAAAATGATCAGCAAGCCAAGATGAAAAAAACAAGTTAGCATGGCCGAAATCGTCAGCTGACTCCTTCTAGGAGTTTAAAATTTGTCCTGAAATGACGATTTTTAACCATTTTTGGGGTTTTTTTTTTACTTTTATCTCGAAAACTATAATAGATAAAAAAAAAACAAAAAAACTTTAAACTCAAAAATGATCAGCAGGATACGATCTGCAATATTTGAAGAAGGCCGAACTTGTCAGTTGACTCTTTAAAGGAGCTATTGCCCTTAATGATGATTTTACACATTTTTGCATTTTTTTCAGTAAACTTTGAAGGATAAAGAAATACTGTAAACAGTAAACATATTCAGCAAGACAATACCTTCAATTAGGTGAACATAGCCGAAATTGTTAGACGACTCCTGATAGGAGTAATTACCCTTAAATGACGATTTATTTACACATTTTTTGGTATTTTAGACAAAAAAGATTAAAGTAGATAGAGAAAAACTATAAACAATTAAAATGATTAGAAAGGCATTATAAAAAAGAGATATAAGTCATGAATTATATAGTCTACAATGTGGAGAGTGGCCATAGTTGAAGATGCACATAGATCTAGTGGAGCGACACATTTCGGGTCCCATTATAGCTTGCTATGCGGTATGGGTTATGCTCATTGTTGAAGGCCGTATTGTGACCTATTGTTGCTAACTTCTACTTCATTAGGTCTCTGATGGAGAGTTATCTCATTGGTGATCATACAACATTTTCTTATTTGTAATTGTTTATTATTATCAGTAACATCACAATGCGGGGAAAACCATTGTAGAAGTGTGAAAGGAGGCTGTTATGTTAATCAAGAGGAGTGGATGGAGGGGTGTACAAAGAAAAGATGTGTGGTTGAAGAACTTTCTTGGAGAACAGAAATAGTCAAGATACGTACGTACATGTTACACTCACTAAGGATGTTTGCTGCTCTGTTTCAAAATAACAAGCTTTTTAAAAGACTGTTATAAATTCATAGTATACAAATAACGGAACTAAAAAAAAAACAGAAAAAAATGAAGGGTCTGTATACTTGCTATCGAATTAATGAACCATTAAATATTTGGCGAAAAATGATTTTGTTTAGATTTTTCATACACTTAGCATTAACACTTTTTCTTTCAAAAACTATGAAACAATAATAAAAACTTTATGAAATTTTCAATTATGGCTTTTTAAACTATATGCAATAAAATTATAAAATGAAAAGTAGGGGTTAGAGGGGGGAATTTGTAATGGCATTACATGGATAAAACCAGAGGATTCGAATATCTGACAAAAAGTCATATAAAACAAGATGCGCGAACATCCTTTAGTTTATTTGATTTAAAACTAACGTAATATAGCATTTAAATTGAAGATCTACATTATCAAATATGTTGGTGTTTTTATGACCAAATAAAATCGCACTAGGTGATACTGCGTTAGTGTAATCGCCTCTGTTGTATGATTTAGTAGATGCGATTCCCTGTCGTGCCAACCAAAGACTTAGATGGTATTATCTGCTTCTTGGCTAAGGACGTGACCTTTAGGAGTAAGAACAAAGAATGATCTAACCCGAATAATTCAGTCCCTCCCCGTGATCGACTCTCCCACTCGCGAAGAAAAGGAAAAATGATTAATAAATAAACGAAAAAATTAACAAAAACAAAACAAACTAAAAAACTGCAAATTAAACAAACACATGCGTATATCTACTGTAAATTCACATTTGATTTAAACGTGGTTCGGTAGGAGGTCAAAGTATTCACGATAAAGGACGGACATTAAGTAATTAAATTCACCATACAACGAGAAAAACAAAATAATGAGATCCCTTCATTGATGTCGAAGACTATCATATCACCATGAGAATATTCTTTATCATATATATATATATAGTTGATTCCAATCTCTTATGTGACTTTGTTTGTTATGAGCACCTTCATTTTTTTTCAGAGTGCAGAGACAAAGATGGTACCTGTATAGATGATCAACAACCAATGCCTGAATACGGCGATTGTGTCTGTTATGTTACGACAAAAGGTTGGAGAATGACGTGTACCCGCGGTGGTTAAACACTCATATTTTTTTTAAATAAATTAAAGCATCCTGGTAACTCACCTGAGTACAGTCTTAATGTTTTAAAATAACGTAATTTTTGATTTCAATGCCTTGTAGTTTTTTTTTTATATGTTTATGAAAGATTTAGCCATGTGTCCTTCTATGGTGGTCCACTGCGTAATTTGTTAACGAATTAATGCAAAACGATACAAAATGGTCTGGATTGAGGGTATACATTTCTGTATTCTTTAAGTGTTTGCGTAATTTATAACTATTCTTTATTTATTTTACTAGTTATTCTCCATTTCCTTATATTTTAACACCCAATTATTCTCAATTCTTTAAAATTTTGGTCCATTTGTCTCTATTCGTTATTTTTTAGTCTAATCACCAGTGGAAATTCACTAACTCGTCACATAGCCGTGATACGTATATAAAGTAAAGTCCTGTTGCTTGAAAGTTTTCGACAATAAAGTATCCATATAATTACTTTTAGGAGGTTGACATAGGCTAACGGAAAGTTCCTTATCAAATGGCAAAATCAAAAGTTCAAACACATCAAACGAATGGAAAACAACTGTCATATTCCTGACCTGGTACAATCACTGGAACGTTGTTTTCAAAGATAGCTTCAAAGTACAATGTCGCCTTTTTTATTCGGCATCACATGAATGCTTAAACAACATTGATGAACGCATTACTGATACAGAGTTGTCTCTCTTGACTAACTTTAACCAGCATATTAAAAATGATATATCAAATTTTGAATTAAATGAGTATGAGGAAAATCAGGAAGGGGTTGATGGTGCAACTGAAAATTTAACTAATATTTTTGAAAATATCTCTGCGATTACTTGTAAAATATCAAAAAGATTTAAAAGTAAGAGAAAAAAATATAGACAGGTAAGGTCAGACAATTGTGTCTATGAGACAAAAAAAGAAATAAACTTGGTTGGAAATAACCTTAAAAAATGTCCAAATAATCAACTTAAACAGAAATATTTTGAATTGTTTAAAAGTTTTTAAAAAATAGTAAAATTTAAAAAAGCAAAATACAGAGAGAAGATATTTAACTCGTTGACAGATAGTTTTGATAAGAAACCTAAAGACTATTGGGAAGTACTTAAAGGAATGAAAAACAAAAAAAATGTTGATAATGAAGTACCAGAAATTTTAAAAGACGAAGAAATAATTACGAAGCATATTCAGGACCAAGGAAAACCCACATTTGTAAATATAACATGGAAAGAGGAAATAGAAAAACAACTTGTTATACCCCACGCAACGAGTTGCGGAGGGTATAATGTTTTTGACCCGTCCGTCTGTCAGTCCGTCAGTCCTATTTCTTGTCATCGCAACTCCTCTCAAACCACACAACAGAATTTCACGAAACCTTTTTAGATAATAAGGACATACTATGTACATGTAGTTGTGCATATCGACAGGAAATTACGATTCAATTCTTTTTCTAGGAGTTACGCCCCTTTGAACTTATTTACTTTAATGTACTACTGCAACAGTTTGTCATCGCAACTCCTCTCAAACCACACAACAGAATTTCATGAAACCTTTTCAGATAATAAGGACATACTACGTAGATGTGCATATCGACAGGAAATTACAATTCAATTTTTTTTCCAGGAGTTACGCCCGTTTGAACTTATTTGCCCAATATACTACTGCAACCTTTTGTCATCGCAACTCCTCTCAAACCACACAACAGAATTTCATGAAACCTTTTCAGATAATAAGGACATACTACGCAGATGTGCATATCGACAGGAAATTACGATTCAATTTTTTTTCCAGGAGTTACGCCCCTTTGAACTTATTTGCCCAATATACTACTGCAACCTTTTGTCATCGCAACTCCTCTCAAACCACACAACAGAATTTCATGAAACCTTTTCAGATAATAAGGACATACTACGTAGATGTTCATATCGACAGGAAATTACGATTCAATTTTTTTCCAGGAGTTACGCCCCTTTGAACTTATTTGCCCAATATACTACTGCAACCTTTTGTCATCGCAACTCCTCTCAAACCACACAACAGAATTTCATGAAACTGTGTAAATAATAAGGACATACTATGTAGATGTGCATATTGACAGGAAATTATGATTTAATTTTTATTTCTGATACAATTTTTTTTTCTTACACTTATTTTATTTCTCCAATGACAATGTGGGGACGTGGGGTATGTGAGCGCGCTCACTAAGGTTCTTTAATTAATATTGAAAAGAACATTACATCTAATAAAGAAACAAACGTTCCAATAAAATACTCTGAAATAAAAAATGTTATTAGTAAGCTTAAAAAAGAAAAAGCTCCTAGGCCAGATACCATTATTAATAAATAGTAAAATTTAGTAAAAATGTATCTATCAAAAGTATTGTTAAAATTGAGAATGGAAATGGGGAATGTGTCAAAGAGACAACAACCCGACCATAGAGCAGACAACAGCCGAAGGCCACCAATGGGTCTTCAATGCAGCGAGAAACTCCCGCACCTGGAGTCGTCCTTCAGCTGGCCCCTAAACAAATATGTATACTAGTTCAGTGATAATGGACGTCATACTAAACTCCAAATTATACACAAGAAACTAAAATTAAAAATGATACAAGACTAACAAAGGCCAGAGGCTCCTGACTTGGGACAGGCGCAAAAATGCGGCGGGGTTAAACATGTTTTTTTGAGATCTCAACCCTCCCCCTATACCTCTAGCCAATGTAGAAAAAACAAACGTACAACAGTACGCACAGTAAAACTCAGTTTAAGAGAAGTCCGAGTCCGATGTCAGAATAGGAAACAAAAGAAAATAAACAAAATGACAATAATACATAAATAACAACAGACTACTAGCAGTTACTGACATGCCAGCTCCAGACCTCAATTAAACTGATTGAAAGATTATGTCTTCATCATATGAATATCAGGCACAATCCCTCCTGTTAGGGGTTTAGTATTATACCGTCATAAAATATATGAGAAGAACATAACCCGTGTCATGCCAACAACTGGTTTTAGAATAAATATGTTTAATTCCGATGCAAAGACCCTATAAGTGAATCAATATTAAAGCCAAAATATGCAATTTTTAATGACCTGACAACAGTATCGTAACTATATCCCTTCATAATAAGTCTGTTTAAAGGTTTTGTTAGCTTTTGAGGTGAATACTGACATGTTTGTGCTTTGTAAAGAATATTACCATAAAAGATTGGATGTGAAATACCCGAACGTATAAGATGTCTGCATGTTGAGTTATATTTACGAATGATGTCCTTATACCGATGATAAAATTTAGTAAATGTTTTGACTAGTATATGATATCGAAAACCCTAGTGTAATAATTTTTCAGTAATATATAAATTTCTCTCGCTTAAATCTAATACGTTGTTACATACACGAGCGAATCGTACAAGTTGAGATAAATAAACACCATAAGATGGTGACAAGGGAACATCACCATCTAAAAATGAATAATTAACGATAGGAAATGAAAAATCATCTCTTTTATCATACATTTTTGTATTAAGCTTCCCGTTAATGATATAGATATCAAGATCGAGGAAAGGACAGTGGTCATTGTTAGTATTAGCTTTATTTAAAGTAAGTTCAACAGGATAACTTTCTTTAGTATACATACTGAAGTTGTCATTATTGAGAGCCAATATATCATCCAAATATCTAAAAGTATTGTTAAATTTTTGTATCAGATGTTGTTTCGATGGGTCTTTGCTGATTTAAGTCATAAATTGTAACTCATAACAATACAAAAAACAGGTCCGCAATAAGTGGTGCACAGTTAGTCCCCATTGGAATTCCGATAACTTGACGATATACGGAATCTCCAAAGCGAACAAAAATGTTATCAAATAAAAATTCAAGGGCAGATATAGTATCAAAGCATGTCCAATTGACATAGCTCTTTTGTTTGTTGCTACTAAAAAATGACCTTAAAGAGTTTGAACATATGTATTCGCATTCCGACTTTTTAAATGTCCATTTAATTAGGTGTGTGAATTTTTTCTTAATAAGAATATGAGGCAAAGTAAACTGTTTAACCTAATTTTGAATACAGGCATTTACCCATCAATATGGAAATACTCATATTTAATTTTATTGCATAAATCCGGAGAAAAAAGTTATCCTAATAATTACAGGGGAATATCCCTGATAAGTTGCTTACCAAAGTTGTTTAATGCTGTATTAAATGAAAGATTGATTAAACTGATGGAAAATACTATCAGTAATACTCAATTTGGCTTTAGGAAAAATCACAGAACCTCTGATAGTATATTTGTGCTGAAGTCCTTAATAAACAAATACTTACACAAAAATAAAAATAAAATATATATGCTTTGTAGATTTAAAAAAGGCTTTTGATTCTGTCTGGAGAAAAGCCTTACTTTATAAACTGTATAATGCAGGAGCAGGGAAAATACTTTATAAAAAACTGTATAATGCAGGAGCAGGGAAAAAATATTTAATATTATTAAAGGACAGTACAGGAAACAAAATCTGCTTTTAAGCACCAAGAGTGGCATTCAGAATATTTTGAGGTCACACAAGGGGTTAAACAAGGGGATTCATTGAGTCCTACTTTATTTAATTTATTTATAAATGATTTAGATGCAGAGTTTTCAAATGAAAAAAGCTGTCCATTGGAACTGATTGATACTAAAGTAGGTCTTTACAATTTGCTGATGACCTTTTAATATTATCTGAAAGTAAAGAAGGCCGACAAAATAGTCTGAACAACTTAGAAAAATATTGTGAAAAGTGGCAATTGACTGTAAATATTAATAAAACTAAAACAATGATTCTGCAGCAATATAATAAAAAAGTGGAAACATCTTTTACAAAATATAAAAATGAAAATTTGACAAATGTCTCTGAATATTCATTTCTTGGAATTCTTGTAAAAACAAATGGAAACTTATTGCATAGCTCTGAAGAACTAGTAAATAAAGCAAGGAAAGTGATGTTTGCTATTAAAACGTATACTGGTTCTTTAAATA